TTTTTTTTTTTTTGTAGTCATTAGTGTTTATTCTTTTCTAATTATTACAACTCTCTTCCCTTGTCCTCTCATTTTTTTATTAATTATTAATTTGAGTTAATTAATTATTTTTTTAATCTTATTTTAATTAATAAAAATTACAAAACTCTTCTAATATTTCAATTAACAATATTATACTATTATCTATTGTTGTATACATTTTGAAAATTTATTTATTTATCTTTTTTTAGTTATCCGGTTCGACTCTTTAATCATTGACCTTTACGCCTTTTCGATTAATGTTCGGTCCAAGTTTTAAATCATTGCAATTTTTTTAAAATAGAGAGAGTATTTTATGTCTACAGAATCTCTTGAAATGCTATTAATTAATCAATTTGGTTGTACCTAACACTTGACCTCAGAAAAGAAATGCATAGGGTACAGTTGTCGTGCGAACTGTACACAATTGTTGTATTATGGCGACTAGTGAATTTTCTACACGTCTTCAAAGTAGAAAAAAGAATCACTGTCAGTATTTTAAGGTAAATTTCATTATGAAGTAAGTATATTATAATTTGATTTCAATTAGGTAAATATACTTTAATTTTTGTTCTATCTAATATTTTTTATTTTTATTTGATTTTGTACTTCAATTTTTTTAATACTATACTTTAATTTGATTTTATTAAAAGTAACTTCAGAGCCGAGGTTAGGAGCGAGATTGGGATGGAAATATCTCCATTTACCAACCCAAACTACTTGATTTATGTGTTGCAACAGAGATAAAAATAAGCATAGATCAAAAGGTTTTTAACATCCGATGATGTTTTATGCGTCAATTTGGATAGATAGCATTATTCGAGTTAAAATTTTAAAATAAATACCATCTTTCGTAAGTGCTACGAAATCTAAGCGCACATAGAATGACAATTGATAGTGCTTGCTTTGGTTGACATAAATATCCTTTTTGTTCTTCATTAATGGGAAGTTCGACTTACTATGATTATGGCCAAACGTTTGGATCGAACCCTTTCAATTGGAATCAACTAAACTTGTGATCAACAGAGTGACTTTCACAACCATAGAACTTTCAACGTGTAATCCTTACACGCTAAACATTATCGAGAGCACACAATTTTATTGACCGTATCAAGTGGTTGTCTGGTGTAGATTGTGAAAAGAAAAAATTGACTTTTGATCCGTTTTGGTCTGACACGTGAGAGAAAAGGCTGCAGTTTTCTTTGATTTTTGGACCGTTGAATTGTGCAACGATAAAAAAATGAATTATAATCGGGAGGAAAATTGGGCCCACACATGCCCAAATATCTTTTGACTACCGTCCACAATGGGTGCAATAATCGAGTTCCTATTTCAACTTCCGTATCTCGTACTCTAACCATTATGGACCGCTAGATAGCAACGAAGATTTGTCTTTTTCGTATTTCATAAAATTAGTCTTTGTAAAGCTGGGGTGGGAAAAATTTCAAGATAAGCCGCTCACGTGAGCCTATTTAAAATAGCCATTAATCAATTATTACTTTTTTCCTTTGTGTTCACAAATATATTAAAGACGTGTTCGGTAGAGATTAAAATCGAATTAAAATTAAAAAAATAACGACTATCTTTTCAATTTTAATTGAATTTTAAATTTAGTCAAACATTCTCTAAGCTCATGTATGATCCGGATTAAAATCTGATTTTAATCAAATTCAAAGTCAAACAATCAATATTAACCACATCTTTCATGGGGGGTCTCACAGCTTTTCAACCACATATTTCAAAAACTTATATCACAATCTATTAAAAATCAAATTTTAATCTCTGCCAAACACCTTCTAAATATCACATCAAGTGAAAATAATTTTTTGGACGATTTTAACCCCACTACAATTTAATTATTTCAATAATACTTTACTTTTTTATTTTTCAATATATAATAAATACTATAAAATCTCTGTTATGTACCAATTTTGTGTCATTAATTCTTAATTAATTGACATTCAAATTAATCTAGACTCAAAGAATCTTAACTTGAATATTGATCTACATGAATATAGATTATTATGAAAGAATTTATTCATATTCATGTATCTAAAAAATTTAATGTGTGTTTAAATTCATGTATTAGATTAATTCTTATGTACCAAATGTAGTATAAAATGTTGCTCATTTGTAGTATTTCATCGTCACAGAAAATTTGAATCATAGAAGTTGAGTTTCGAGAATACAATTTTATTCTCTTAAATTTTATTTTCTTTAGATCGTTTGATACTCATCAAATCCTTCAAACAAATTGGAATCAAATATTACTTTTACAATATTTATAAAGTATTTTTGAATAACGTGTAATAAAAGACAAATCTTCTTGAGATTCTCTTGAAATATCAGCCACAAAGAGATACAATTAATTTGTTTAATATTCATCTAACAATTATTAAAGGAGTCGACTAAATGAATCTTTCTCCTTTGCTCCGATCATTGCTAAATATATTGGAAAGTCTAAAACAACTAATTTAAGGATCGAAAGCTTGGAAATCAAACGGCCAAAATCTTGAGTAAACCCTGGTATGTAACCCCTCCATTTTGATCACCACCGCCCATTCTGATCATGGCCTTGACATCTTCATCGTCAACGGCATCAAAACCAGCCCACAGAAGGTAACTTTTGAGATCTTCATGTCCAACTTTTCCATCTCCATCTTTGTCCATAACCCTAAATGCCTCCTCCATTACGTTCACACCCCATCCCTTATTTTTCCCTCTCCTCGTATGCTCCAAAACTTTCTCAAACTCTTCAAATTCCACATATCCATCTTTGTTTGCGTCAGCCATGGATATCATGGACCCTATAACATCTTCTTCCGACGCCCCGTCGACCGAAAATCCTCCGTAAAATGCACGGAGGTCGTCGTGGCTAATCTTTCCATCTTGATCGGCGTCCAGAACGTTGAATGCTGAACGTAAATTTGATTTCCCGGCGGTCTCCGACCGGAGCAATTCGCTTCCTGTTGGGCACATTCTGCTATACGTTATTGGCCACAAATTCTACTTTGTACAGAAAAAACTTTATAATATGCTACCTATTATGCGAATATAGGAGCAAAAGAGTATGTATTTATAGTCAAACCTCCGAGGTTTGAGGGTCCACCAAGGTCGATTTTCTTTGGTATGTTCACTAGCGATGCAATTTTATAGTCGTGTGGATGACGCCATTACATCTAAATTATGAAGAATTAGAGGAAATTGCAATAATTTTCCTGGATCTATAATTCAAGTAACAAGTTAGTCTTCGACCTTTAAAATGAGCCAATTAATGCTCGACCTTTTATGCATAACTGCACAATCAGTCTTCACCAACACGAAGCGTCCAAATTTCTTGTGGTGGCTCTTATGAAAACATGATGTATCAAATTTTTTCGTACTTATCTAAGTTGGAGAATAAATTCTAGTATAATAGGTTATAAAGTTGGACATATAAGCGTTGTGTAACGATTTAACGAAAATTTGGGCCTGTTTGATTCCTTAAATTTTCCATGGAAAGTGGAAAATATTTTTCATTTTCTCACTTTTTTGCTATTTGATGGCAAAACTTTTTCATGGAAAATCTTTCCCCCCCCCCCCCCCCCCCCCCACGCGCCCCTTTTCCTTGTTTTGTGAGAAAATGAATTCTAGGTTTATGGCTTTTTTTTTTTGACAATGGTAACAAATTTCATAATCATATATTAAAAAAAATTTCACTTTAATGAACAATTTTCATGTAAAATAAAGTCAAACGTGAACAAAAAAAAATCTAAAATTTCAAAATTTTTCCGGGAGGAAAATTATACGAATCAAACACATTTAATTAACAATTCCCTAGGAAATGATTTTTAGGCAATTACCTTCCCTGAAAAATCCAAAATTTTAAAATTTTCTTGATGAAAAATTATACCAATCAAACACACTTAATTAACAATTTCCTGGAAAACAAATTCTAGACAATTATTTTTCCTGAAATTCATTTTCTTTCCACCAATTTTCCACTCTAACAATCAAATGGAGCCGTAGACAATTCGCGTTGAGAAATGATTGAAAAATTATATAGAAGCATTGAAGACAAACTTACTTCTTTTTGAAATTTGGGAAACAACTAACTCGAGCAATAGGTAAACAACCAATATGGCCAATTTTCCTAAATTGCAGGATCGTTTAGCAATATGCCCAGCAGTGGTTGGATTGTAGCCTGGTACTTTTGTTCTACACCATTCAAATTGGACAGACCAGAGAATCACAAGCCATTAAAGATTCTTGTGGTGTTTCATTCATTCATTAATTTTTTTTTTTTTTTAAATTTTGGTTTTGCAAATGTGCAGAGAGTTTGGTAATCTTTTTCTTTAAATAGCAATTTTTGCTAATCTGACATGATCAATAACTCTATTTGATGACACGTTGACATTTAACGATATCTATAGAATTTAATAATAATTTTTTTAACGAGTGAACACGTGTAAAATTTAAAAACTTTAGTGTGTATTTGTCGCCCATTATTGTAGAATAAATTGAGTAATAAATAGTATTTTTTGGAAAATGTGTGGTTGAAATTTAAGGCTTGTCTGGATGTGATTAAAGTTTGGATTAAAAGCATTTTTTTGACCGTTGAGTGCTTCAACGGTCTCAATTTCACATAAATGGCCTGATAGCTTGTGAGACCTCGTCAACTTTTACGGCTCAAAAATCAATTTTCCAAAACAGAAAATTTGTACCAGACAACTCCTTAAAGTAACTTTATTGGTTTGCGTGTGGAATATTTTATTGGGTGAATGTGTGGTGAAAAATCTTACTGTAGCAAATAATGTTTTGGAATAATGAGAGACAAACGTGGCCTTAATAATTTACCGTAAGAAAATAATTTCAATAATCGAAACATAATTAACGCAAAATTTTATCAACCAGGTTTGACAAATTGGACCATTCATATATGGGTTGGACGTGGCCAATTTCCAGTAAAGATCAGCCCACGGCCTAAAATCCAAGGCCTTTTTAGCCATTTCCTCTGACCTTTAAAACCTAGTCGCCAAAATTTCTATTTAAGCAAGAGCTATAAACCCTAATTCTTTATCATCTCATCTCTCCGCCTCCCTCTATGTATATGCGTATAGATTTCTTTTTCGGGTAAATGTACAATACTATATGTATGCGATCTTGATTGATAATTATATTTGCCTCTTCTTAAGAACCCTTTGAAATTTCACAATTAGGGTTCTCTAATTGATGTAGATACTCATCATGGGGCAAAAAGTTTAGGCAGGAGAGTTGAGTCGCTTCGCCTCAGTACTGTTACGCCAGGTGCAGTGAATTTAGATGCTGCTAAATATATTCTATTATCTCTTTTTAGTTTTTTTTTTTTTTTTCATCTGAAAGATAGAAATTGGATTGGGGATTCCGATGATGGCATGAAATCTTTGAGACCTGATTGTCTAATTTGATGACAACTACAAGCATTTTCTTCTGAGGATACCCCCTTTCCTAAAATTCAGGATTTTACAGGAAATTCTCTTCATTTTATTTTGTTGTGAAATTCAATTAGATGGATTATTGTGTCAATTTTTTTTTTCATTTCAGTTCATATTTTAGCTAATTTGGAAAATCTGAAAAAATATTATTATATTAAATTTCAAAGATATGATGATCGCACTGGGCTCTGATCAGTTATGTAAAACTGTTTATTAATGGACAATGCAGCCTAGAAAGCTATATCTGATCTTCATTTTATTAATTTTAATTAAATATTTTCGTTTCAATTTGGTCATCTATCCATTTGTTTGTCCTCGGTTTGCTTTGCAAAATCAATTCCATTCGGAACAAAATTTGCTTTCGAGAGAGATGTAATGTAGTTATTGCTACGAGCATCAACCAAAAACAAAATTTGCTGCAAAAATTTCACAGCAGATTCTTAGCCAAAACAATATTGTCAAGAATCCATACACTGACTGCACAATATATTTCCCATTTCAAATAACCCAAAATGACTAATGAAGTTACTACGAATTAAGCAGTAAATAAATTATTTTTACGAAAAAAGAGTAAGTTTAAATTTAAGTTTAAAGTGGGGTTTTGAATGATTTTTATGAACTGTAGTGAAGTGCTTAAAAGTGAGTCGAATGCACTGAAGAAAGAACCAACTCGGGAGTCTTTCCCTTTTGAAGCCAATTGCATTTGATCAAGCAAAACCAATAAAATATAGGTAAGAATAATAAGTTGAAGCACAAACTGTCCAATCAGTGATTTTATTTGTTGAAAAATGTTAAATATTTGTCTAAGGAATTAATATTTTCCAATTTCAAAATAGAAGGCAATAGGATGGAATGGGAGTTAATGGAGTCATTTGCAATTGTAACAAAAGTTATTAATACTTGCTTTGGCTAATATTTGTTGTCATAAATACGATAAGCTGCTTCGTTATCTCCAATGGTGGGTGGAAAAGGGATATGTTACAGATACATAATTTTTTGTACATAGGGGTGTCAACACTTTCACGTGTACATAATTTTTGGTACATAGAGGTGTCCACATTGTCACGTCACGTGGTTTCAAGCATATTTTTCACCGAATAATTTTTGGTGTACATAATTTTTGGTACATATCAATTCCATTCGGAACAAAATTTGTTTTCGAGAGAGATGTAATGTAGTTGTTGCTACGAGCATCAACCAAAAACAAAATTTGCTGCAAAAATTTCACAGCAGATTCTTAGCCAAAACAATATTGTCAAGAATCCATACACTGACTGCGCAATATATTTTCCATTTCAAATAACCCAAGATGACTAATGAAGTTACTTGAAGAAATAAGCAGTAAATAAATTATTTTTACAAAAATAACATAAGCTGCTTCTTTATCTCCAATGGTGGAAAAGGGATACGTTATAGATACCTAATTTTTGGTACATAGGGGTGTCAAAACTTTCACGTGTACATAATTTTTGGTACATAGAGGTGTCCACATTGTCACGTCATGTGGTTTCAAACATATTTTCCACCGAATAATTTTTGGTGTACACAATTTTTGGTATATTGGGGTTTCCACATCCTTGCGTCACGTGATTTCAAACATGTTTTTCATTGAATAATTCTTGATGTACATAATTTTTGACCCATGTACCAAAAATTATGTATACTCATGTATCAAAAATTATGTACATCAAGAATTATTCGATAAAAAATATGTTTGAAATCACGTGACGCAAGGATGTGGACACCCCGATGTACCAAAAATTGTGTACACCAAGAATTATTCGATGGAAAATATCTTTGAAACCACGTGAGGGTGTGTATATCCTTATAGACCAAAAATTATATACATTAAGAATTATTCGGTGGAAAATATGTTATTTGTTTCAAAATGTGTCAAATGCTATATAGGCCAAATCATGCCAAAAGTTTTGGACGGCTCGCAATATTTACACTCGAAGATATAATGCTATTTTTTTCCCTATAATTGATATGAGTGTGTTGTCAACTAACACCACATTGAAAATATCACAAGATTTTGCAAATTTGAATAGTTAATGGTTCAGAAGCCACATTGAACTTTATCTCGATAAATTTGTCAAAAGAAACTGACTCGTATTTTTTAATCTATTGTATCTATCAATTACATAGCGTGCTAGTGACGAAAGGGATTCACCATTAATTGATTAGACATCTGTAATATCAATTGAATCTTATCTAGTATAGTGTACCAAACACGTTGGCAATGTATTAACAAGAATTCACCCTATATAAATATCCCTTCCTCTACATGTCGGTGAATCCATTTGTAAAACATAACATATTGTCGAATCCTATCTAGTACAGTATACTAAACACGTTAGCAATGTATTAACAAGAATTCACCCTATATAAATACTGAAATGTCAGTGACTTTGATAATTCATCTGCTTGACAGAATGAGGCTCCAACTGGTATTGCTCATACACCTCAAAACCAGTCTGTAGCAGCACTTGTAGGCGGAGACAAGGCTGCCTTTTATGGATTCTTCAGCAGCCATAACACACAATTCGACTATAAGGGCAGACATTACAATAACAACTTTTACATTCAGGGTCCACAGATTTCATCTTTGGTCGTGGGCAATCAATATATCTAATGTGAAGTAAATGCATCCATTCTTAAGTAACGAGCCACATGAGCTGCAAGCTTTCACGGGCTTGTTTCTTTATTAAGGTTCTACTGTTTACCATGGATGCAGGAGAACGTGATTTTCGTGATTGCTAATAAGAGACATGAAATCCAAGGATCTATCACAGCACATGGCAGGCAAAGCGTCAAGGAAAGCAGTGGCTTTGTCTTTATCAAGGGGAAAGTCAATGGCATTGGAGATGGTACTTAGGTAGAGCTAAAGGAGCATATTTTTACATAATTATCAAACGAAGTATCGATGTCTGAGTCATCCGGGAAGTACAGGTTAAGAAATGGTGCCTCTTGGTGTAAATTTATCGATGTCTGAGTTAGTGTGCATGTTATTGTATAGAAAGAGCTACTGATCATGAAAACCGTGAACCCATCTTCTACTTGTACACAGAACGGCAAGTTAGGTATGGAATATTAGACAAAACTGTACATATAAATGGACAAGATTATTACTACTACTCCGATTTTGTCTAGTACTGTATACTGTCGTCCTCATTGGTATGCACTATGAAGTATTAATATGACTTGACAATAAAAATAGGCAACATTTGAACTGCTTTTCTTTTATAATACAGAACAAACACGAAGAGTCATAACTTACAAGTCGACTTTTGATCGCGATCTCAGTAAACAAAACGTCTGTAATTCAATGGCAAACCTTGTTTCTGGCAAATGATTATAGAAACAATTCCTGAACTTCTCTTTTCATGTCTCCTCCTCTGACACAAAAAATATCAAAGGTTAGTTTAAGAACTGCATAGCTTTTCTTCATCTCTCCTTTCCTAAGACAAAAAAGCATGTAAACCGCTATGTTTATAATTGTTAGCACTATCAACTCACCAACGATCTCAGTAACATGTCTACACTCAGCACAACAAATTGATCGCTGAATAGCGAAATGAAATGAAATAAATTACATGAATATATTACAGCAGATGCATTGGTGATCGGATTTCCTGATGTCAGTAAATGAAAAACACCTTGATATAGATGTTTAAGTGTATATGCTGCTGGCAATGCTACGAGCAAAAATCAAGCATAATTATGTACATTGTGGACATGTTCAGCACACAACATTAAAAGATACCATAGTAGAACAGAGAATTTTAACTTTTTCCTTATTCAATCGTGTTGAATACGGCCCGGCCCACCTTACCAAACATGCCATTTGTGTCTACAACTCGTTTTGGCCACAATCTCCAGCAACATTACGGCCTGCTTGAAATTGAATGACATATTGTCTCTGCAGATCTTTGAACTTTTCCAGGAGTTCTTGGAAAGATGGCCGGAACTGTGGTTCACTGGTCTCGATACAGATAAATTGAAAATCAGCTAGAATCCAAATCATGAACACATAAGATATAGCTATAGAATGCAAGAGAAAATGAATATTCAAAGTATGCGATCAGAATTTCTAAGTAATACCAACCATAATGCTAAGAATTTTAATTGCTGTAAAAAGAAATCAAACATATTTAACAATTGAGTGCACAAATTTGCACATATACGACAGGTAGAATACCATATCACTATTTTATATTTTTTAACTCAGAAAATTTAAAAACATAAAAGGCCACAATATGCTATAAATGTTGAAAAAACAGTTTGTCTAAAACTCTTGGTCATACACTCATATATCATCTGAACCAAAAAAAATGTGTCCAAAATAGTGATAAAGATGATACTGAAGTCATCTGTTTGCAGATAATGAAAACGATTGGACAGCTATCAGAACCTACCTTAGCCAGCAGCTCTCAATGATAGAAGCCCATTGAGGATCAACGTCCTTTGGAATCTCTAGCCGTTCGTTCATAAATCCTACAGCTCCAATAACCTGTATAATCCAAAGATACTGATCAACATGCGAAAAATTACTGCCTGTGACTACAAACTTCTTTCATAATCGAGACTGATCGCACTCATTTCCACTTCAGGAAGTATGTAAGAATGTTGTTCAAGCTGATGTCTAAATAAATTTCTGGAAAAATTACCAATACCTGCATTGAGTTGAGGTTATCCCATGGAATCTTCTGGGTAACGAGTTCCCATAGTATAACACCAAAGCTGTACACATCAGCCCTAGTTATTACAAGAAACGATGTCAAGATTCAGATTCATTTGTTTCCATTAGATGTGCATTTATATAACAAGATTCAATTTCACTAGTCACTAAGCATACTTCTCGCCTGAGGGTTCATTATGAATAACTTCTGGAGCCATCCATTGAGGCTGCATGACCAGGAATAAGTTTTCAACCAGTTACCAACTTAATAAATTTAAATGTATCATATTGGTGTAGCTACGAAGAAGAGTGTTCAGTGACGGTTAAATACCGTTCCCCTCCCCGTCTTTGTTGTCAAATACGTTTCATGTTTTAGCCGTGAGAGACCGAAATCACCAACCTGTTGAAGAGGAGGTATCAGTTTTCAACTCATGGAGTTTCTAAAGAACGCGTGAAGCAAAATAAGGAAATAAGAGATGAGATTAAACAGCATATTCTGAAGAACCCAAGGCAGACCTTCACAGTCCAGTTCTTGCTGACAAGAAGATTGGATGACTTTAAATCACGATGAACAATAGGTGGATTGCAACGATGAAGATAATTCATGCCTCGTGCCTGTGGAAATATAGACAGTGCAAAATATATACCATGAAAAGACTCACCAAAAATGCAGATCTTAGAAAATGTTAAACATACCAGCATGTTTGGTAGGGATGATTAATAATATAAAGAAAATTAAGCAAAAATCTTGTTTATTGTGCTATCTAGTCATATCCATATTGTGTACCAAACATGCACATAGAGCCTACTAGCAGCAAAGAAGGAAATGGTGAGACGCAACACATCTTGTGCCTTCAATATAAATAAGGCACTTAGATTTGAACGGACTGATATCACTGGTATACTGAACTCTAAAGATACTTACAACATCCAAAGCCATGTGAATGTGTCGCTTCCAATCTAATTTTGATGTATTCCTCTGTAATAACTGGAACAAACTTCCCCTGCATCAAACGGAAAGGTGGAAACTTGTATATAAGTGACTCTTTGCTAATTGGACGACACAAAAAGAATGGAGATACAGAGAACAGATTAGTACATTGACATGAGCAGAGGATATAAAGATTATACAAGACTGATTGTGGGGATCAAAATAGAAGAGAAAAAGGACAGGAAGGCACAGAGGGAAGTGGAGGACGCACCGAGGAAGAAACTCTGTAACAATACAGAGGTGTTGAGGTGTAGTTACTGCACCCATGAAGAGTAGAATATTTGGATGTCGAAGACTTTTCATAAGAGACACCTTCAAAAACAGAGAAAAACAGTAAGCAGATTTGGCAAGTCATATTCTTGGGTTTTTCTAATCATTTTCTTTCCATACTGGCGTCTGGTACTAGGAAAATGCATATCAAATCATAAACTGCATCAACTTTAGCCTTTTTGGACACTCTAAACATGGTCCAAGTGCACGACTCAATAGAAAGGAACACAAAGTTCTCCGTGCGAAACCAATCTATAGTCAGACAGCAGAAGTCACCTGATTAAAACCTATTTACTGTCACGAGATCTTATCTCGAAATAAGATTATCATGCAACTCATAATATCTAGCAAAACATTTTGCAGCAGTGTTTCAAAGTATTTTTTATAGAAGCTCTTTGAAGAATAGTTGCAGTTCAAATAAAATTACAATATAAATAGCGCAAATAAAGAATTTAAAAACAAACTAAAACGACATACTCACCTCCTGTCTGAAGGAAAATATTACATCATCAGAATATTCTTGCCTGGAAAATACCTTGACGGCAACATCCTGCATAACAGACATATTCATTTAATTAAAGATAAAAACTAGCACATCCAAAACTTTATATTTATTTTTTGTGTAGTCTTTTTACAGATAAGAGAAATATTAACAGTAAAGGAAAAAGAACAATCATGGTGATGAGAAACTGATTTATTAGCCATTTTCTATTTTAAACTTATAAATGTATGCAGAAGGAGTATATGCTTAAATTTGCCTAGAAAGGGCAAAAGTGCGAGCTCTGGGGTGAAATTTAATATAGCATTGTACAATTCTCTACTTAGCGGTTCCTAATCATTAATTATATTTGTAGATTCGTACTCGAAGGAGTGACTTTCATATAAAAAACTTTGATTAGGATAAAAAGTTGTGTATTCTAAAAACGTTATTAAGATTAAGAGACAAAGAACATACTGATCCATACCACAGGGCATGATATACAGTTGCACAAGAACCTGCATCGACATGATACAAATGTAAGATGAACAGAGAAATTAAAAGGCAGCATAGTAAAAACCAGTGATGAATCTTTTGCTACAAAACATAAAATACTAAGAAAAATCTTGCTGCCTAATTTTTCGGTACTCTGGAAAATTCAAGAACTGAAAGGGAAAAGACCTGCAACGACTAAGAAAACTAAGACTTGGTAATAACCACCTGCAATGACGGAATTTACTAACCTTGACCAATCTTTTCTCCAATAGTCAAGTCCTCCCACATGATTTCATAATCTAAGAAGTCAGATTCCATATCTATTTTATTAACAGCAGTAATGCTGGTATTTCCACCATTGCTAACAGTGCTTGTGCTGTTCACACTGAACGGTGAGGACCAAGATCCCGGAGCCTCGCTATTAGCAGTCGGGTTAGTTTCAGAAAGCTGATGTTCTGACTTCAATGTAGCAGAAGCATTCTTCAGCTGACCCAACTCGTTGTCCTGGTCATTGTGTAACCACAGGCAGACAGGATGAGCCGTCTTTGTTTCTGATACATCTTGTTCATTTCCTTTCCATGGCCATGCCAAACCTTTCTTACCAATCCAAAATTCGGCTTTGGAGGTGATGATCTTAGAGATACCAGGTTTCCCTTTACTCTCGTCACCAGAATCTCTGGATAGATTAACTGGGGAGTGCTCATCATGACTAACCCCAAAGAACACACCAGATGGAGACGGATGTGTATCTCCTCTGGGTGTACTGGCTCCACTTGAAGCTTCATCATCCCTACGGTCAGAGAGAGTGGCATCCGAGAAACCATGATCAGAATGATGACTACCTCCAATTCCAATACCACGATCCAAACTGTTCTCTCCAGATCTTAATTTCGATTTAACTTTGTCGCTGACTTTGGAAACCTGTTTAATGATTTCCAGAAGCCAACATACGCTTCAAAACTATTATTATTTGTAATTGTAATCAAGAAAAGTAGAAGACTAACCAAATTTGATATTTTGGAGGAGACTGCAGCTTGTAGAGGCTGATGAGGATCAAGTCCAAGTTTGGCTGAAGCAAAGCTTCTTGGCCTGCTAAATCTTGAATTAGTTCCCACCGGCTCAGGCACAGATATTACTGCCTTTGCTTGTAGGAAAGGTCTGGAATCACTGGAGACGCATATCATCCCGACCAAAGAGCCATTATCATCATAGAAAGGGGTATTTGTTGCAATAACTAAAAACATGTTGCCTGTCTTATGCTTAACACGAAACTGCCCTGTCCAACTCTCCCCCATCATTACACAACGCATTATATTTCTTCCCACTGCAAAGTCTCGGCCATATGTTATGAGCTCAAGGACATCCTGCCCTACAGCCTCCGCAGCTGAATATCCATAAAGATTTTCAGCACTTCTGTTCCTGGCAACAGAAATATAACCGAATTGGGCAAAGGTAGGATACATTTTCCATAATTGGGAGTGAATCTTACCTTGCATTTATCAAAACGATTAATAATAAGTTTCCCAAGTTTGATTATCATCATTTTTATGTACAATCTCAACATTGCAACTACATATCAATATCAATTCACTAAAACTAAGTGTTTGATAGAGTGGATTAGACTGTACTCAATGGAATTAAGACAGAGCATGCCCGATCTCCTCCCCCTAGTGAACAGTTGAAAACCATGCTTAAGGTCGTCTTACCACATCAGCAGTGACAAGTTTTTATGCTGCCAACTTAGGGAAGGAGATCAATTTCATAAAAAAGAGAATGAAACCAATATCATGTCCATTGTATCATCGAATACGGTATAATACTGTGTATCAAACGTGCATTAAATACATAATGTAAGCTCGTACTAAAAGAGTAATGCTATCAACGGTAAGACTATTGATAGTCATTTTACGTAGCATACACTTGACAATTTATCATTTTGACCATATTATTGTAACACGCCACGTATTCATTATGAATAACATTATTTATACTAAAAGTATCAATTTACCCAAGAAAACTTCAACTGACTCACCAGTAAACTATAAGACCACTAAAATCGAGTATATGGACGGACTGTCCCATTGACTGCAATATATTCAAATACTGCTCATCAGTAAAGTTCACCGCCGCTGGCCCTCCACCACCGCCGCCGCTACTATGCACATCCTTACTACTACTCTCCCTCTGCAAAGGCGATGAATGCCGGAATGATAGTGACCCTCTCTTCCACGCCGCCCCTAAACCACCATCTCCGCTGACGGCCCTCCTCCACGGCACACGTTGAGGGGAAGTGGAACGAGACTTCTGCTTGTAATAGAGATGTATAGTTGAATGTGGTGAATTCATGAGCTTTGACATCTCTTGCTTTAACTGGGTATGACCTGTTTCTAAATCTTGGAGCTTCTTTAATAGCTCCTTTGCTTGTGGTGGTGCCCCTGATGCTGCTGATGAACTATTTGCATTGTTTTCCATAAGTAAAAAAATTCATCAACATCCAACAAAAATCAACACCCAAAACAATTACCCAAATTTCTTTAGCATGGATCTAGGATAAAATCATGTCTTTTTGTTCCTCCCTGTACTCTTCTGGTAAACAACAACTTTTGTGTGAATACATATATTTACTTGAGGCGGTTCTTGATGTTCGAGGTTCTCTCAATATGGATCACTCTCTCAGCTGCTTATAATAATAAACAGATACAGCCGCCAAAATTGATGACCTTTCTCGGAAACGTGCGTTCAGTGCGCGGGGAATAGTAGCTAACTGTTTCTTGAAAATTTGTCATCTATCTGGTCGGTGAGCACCACGTCAGTTGTGGAGCGTGAGATTTTAATTTAGCTACTTTTCTTTTCCTCTTCATTTTAAAAAACTTTTTTAGAATCATTCACGACTTCAAATTTCTAAGAGCTTTTTTGAGTTATAAAAAAGAATTAGACGAGTTAGGTAGTAAAATACAATTTTTATAACCACAATGAAAGGTTGAGAAAATGTAATTCATTTTTAAAGATTGAAGACTAAGGTACCATTCGTTTGGAAATAGTGTAATTTTGAGTTAAATGTTTTATTGTTCATCGAACTTTGCACTATATCACGACTTACTCATCGAATTTTCAAAATCGTCCCATTAACCACTAAACTTTACTTCGTTATTGTTCATTACTCACCACGGGGATGGCGCTTCAAAACATTTTGACGTGGTGGACAGAAAAATGAGGTGGTCAATTAACTCCTTCCAAATGGTAAGTGGAGTGTCAAATCGGTGTCGTCATTGCCACATCACACACTACTAAAGATTTGAGATCGGGTTTTAGGACCAGAGATATGAGCTTGGATTATGTAATTTTCATTGGTGAATAAAACTTCAGCGTCTTCTCCTCTGCGTCTATTATTGTTGGAACGTTGTTCTTTCGCCTCTAAAATACAAGATCAAGATTCTCTTGCTTCTGAAGTTTCTCAAGTAATACTATTCACTTCCTCTCACTTCTTGTTTTAAATTGTGATTTTCTTGGTGGGTTATTTGACTTAAGAGTGTCCAGATCGGATGTCAAGATCCGAAGCATTGTTGAAGAAGGTAGAAAGAAGATGGTCTACTTCTTTTGATCTGAACAATTATGCTGAATTTGAGTTGAGTTGGAAATTACCTTCACATTTGGAGATAGTTAATTGGTCACGTCGTTTTTTCGTCTGTCACGTCAGCACGTCTACTAACAAATTCCATCGGTAAGTAATAGACACTAACGAAGTAAAGTTTAGTGACTAATGGAATAATTTTAAAAGTTTTATGAGTAAACTATGATATGGTACAAAGTTGAGTGATCATTGAAACATTTAACTCTTGTAATTTCTTCCTTTAAAAAACACAAAGAACTAGCAGTCACTTTTAATGCTTCCCCTCTTTCTTTTTCAATTCCAAATTTATTGAATTACATAAATTATTGTTTTTCTACCTAATAATTAGTTACATGTGTTGCAATTTGGACTAACATGGGTATAGGTTAAGTTAAGAAATCATTAACTTATAATCAGCTTTATTTTTTCTCAAACTCATTTTTAATCACGAATTCTTTTATAAAATAATTTTATACATAAATTCAAAAAAAATCCTATTTTTTAACCACACATTCTTCAAAAAATCGTATTATAAAATCTATTTATCCCAAAAAATGGGATTCAAACATGGGTTAAATGACTAATAAATTATTGTTTTTAGTTATATATATATATATTACTGGCTCCCAGGTTCCTACACCGTTTATACTCCTAGCCCCAAGTGAGCTCTCCTCATTACCTTCTTGTCATTGCCTTGCTTTCGAGAAAATCCCCCTTCCAATACTCGTGCCTTCCAGGATTCGAACTCTCAACGTTGGGATTGCGATCCCACAAATGCAATTGTTCCACCAACTCGGATGTGCCTCGGGGGGCTACTTCGTAGTTATATATTACTAAACTGGGCATATGCCAAAGGATCATGGGACAAGATAAGAAGTTGGGGATTGTATATCAATTGGATTAGGGTTTTATTTCTCCATGGAGTCGATTTACAATATTAAACAGTATCAAAACATAAAATTTTAGTACTATGTCGAAAACACGTTTTATTTTGAAGGGTAGGAGTTTTATTACATCCATAGCAAGATAGATGTTTCTTTTGTGTTGAAAGACATTATTTAAATAATTTTTTCTCTTTAGTTGAGTTGTCTCAACATGGTATTAGCAAGCCGACGGTCTTATATTCAAGTAGTAATCACTGTTTGTATTCTGTATGTCTTAAGCATTCGATGAAAAAAGGATTGAGTTTCACATGAAGGGTCGGGTTGAAAATCTCAAAAGAGATTTTAAATTTCAATAAAATTTTAAATATTTTTTTTTTACAAAACCAATAATACCCTATAAATGAAATGTTTGTCTTGTCTTGATAAATTATTCACTCTCTATAAATAGTTATTGTTACAATCACCGAGACAAGCACACAATCTAGCATAACACATAACCTTCGTCTCTGCATACTGAAATTTCATCGAAATTATTATTTTTAACTATATTTATTTCTTTGACCAAAATCCATCTAGTACTCCACCATAGACTAGGGCCCGTTTGTTTCTGATTAAAACAAGATTTTAATCTAAATCAAAGTCAAACAATCAATATTAACTACATTTTTTATGGGTTCCATAGCTTTTCAACCACACATTTCAAAATTTTTTGCGGTATTTAATTGCCATATTAGTGATTTCTGCTACACAGTGTCTTCTCAGCATTTCCTACTAAAATTTCAATACATCACTATATATATTTTTTTGATAAATAATCAGAAAATTTTATTAATCAGAAAAGAATGCACAGGTAGTGTATTATCAGTTTAAGCAAGAAAGAAAATATATGAAGTTAGACAGTCCCTCTATAGGATTACTAGTCGCTGCATTAAACCAAGTATACAAAATCAGACAAGCACACAATCTAGCATAACATAACCTTCGTCTCTGCATACTGAAATTTCATCGAAATTATTTTTTAAACTATATTTATTTCTTTGACCAAAATCCATCTAGTACTCCACCATAGACTAGGGCCCGTTTGTTTCTGATTAAAATCAGATTTTAATCTAAGTCAAAGTCAAACAATCAATATTAACTACATTTTTTGTGGGTTCCACAACTTTTCAATCATACATTTCAAAAATTTTTGCAGTATTTAATTGCCATATTAGTGATTTCTGCTGCACAGTGTCTTCTCAGCATTTCCTACTAAAATTTCAATACATCACTATATATATTTTTTTGATAAATAATCAGAAAATTTTATTAATCAGAAAAGAATGCACAGGTAGTATATTATTAGTTTAAGCAAGAAAGAAAAGATATGAAGTTAGACAGTCCCTCTATAGGATTACTAGTCGCTGCATTAAACCAAGTATATAAAGTCAGATAAAATAATTCTCTAAATACATCACTATATTGAACAATATTAACACAATGACAAGCCGATATTTTCAAATGTGATACGAATAGTATAATTTGAAATCGTCTTTTTATTTACTTAAATTATCCATTGATGTAGCAACGTATCAAAATTTTAACGAAACGGAAATAACATATCTTAACTTTGAAGGCATGTACCTATATTATTATTTAGACCGAATTTTTTACACCTAAAATACAAAAGAGGGGTTGGAGAAAATAAGATATTATTTTTAATTAGGACAATATTTATTCTTTTGATTCTTTAACCTGAATTTTTGTCTTCAAAATGATTCCCGTTAGTTTCACCTTTGTATGCTAGTTTGTTTCAGTGCACAAAATAATTAAAGGCACGTAAATTATTTATAATAGAGACATCGGGCAGCAAAAATAACTGTCGGATTTATTATTAAGCTCTTATTTGACCTTATTATTTTCAAAATACATTTTTTATTCTCTTATTTTCGACTATATATTTTTCAATAAAATAATATTGCACGCAAATCCTACTTACTTTTTAACCACACATTATCTATCAAATCACTGTTCAAAAATGTATTTTTATCATTAAAAAAAAGGGACTCAAACAGGTTGTAAATGTTACCATATAAAGTATATTTGAAAGCACAAGTTTGACTTTTTTGTGTGTATTGAGTTACAAAATGGGTGTGGCAAGATCTAGACCAATAGTTTCAAAAACAGTTTTTGAAATCATTGACTTAGATCGTCAAACAATTTTGTACCCATAGCGTTACTCTCAAATAGCAATGCCATTTCAAAGCACAAGTTGACTTTTCTGTACAGCCATGTCTTCCCATCTTAGTTTTGTTTTGTTTTGTTTTGTTTTTTTTTTTTTTAAATCCCTTTAAAATTTCTTATAATGATATATTATATTCCGGATTAAATTTTATTTTTTTCCGAGCCTGTTTAGAGTTCTTTAAAATTGAGGAGTTGAGCCTAAACTAGAGAAATCGAAGACCCTTTTAGACTAGAAAAGGAAACCGAAGAAAGACAGACGCACGTACTACACAAGGCTGGACAGTTTAACTTATATTTCTTTTTTAATCATGTTCGGTAAATTTTCCAAATGTACACCCAATCTACATAAAGGAAACCGAGGATAGACAGACACACGTAGCGTACTACACAAGATTGGACAGTAAAATAGACAAATTTTAACTTATATTTCGCTTTTAATCATGTTTGGTAAACATCTCCAAATGTACAGCCAATATATGTGTGTATGCACGTGCACGCTAAAATGATCTTAGGTAGATATTGTTGATGAAGATGATGGATTTGAGTGATGACTTTAAACCAAAAAAAAAAAAACCACAAACATTACCAAAAATTGGATAGAGTAACGGTAAGGATATGAGTGAAAAAATCAAAGAAAAAGAAAGTCAAAGTAACACCAAAAGAAATGTATGCAAAGTCGAGGTAAGAGTCTTAATTCGAATTTGCCCCGCAACGGTATCCACGGATGATGACAATTGACTCTTAAGATATAACGA